AAGGGCCGTGCCAGCGACACTCATCATCCCGCTCAGCCCCACAAGGGACCCCCGGCTGGACCGGGGTCTCTTCCCGCTCGGTTTTGTCGGCCTCTGGCTCAGGGAGGCCCGACACCTTTTGCCAGGTACCAAAATCAACTCAAAATGGATTAAAGCATTAAATATACATCCTGAAACTATGAAACTCCTAAAAGAAAACATAGGGGAAATACTTCAGGAAGTAAGACTGGGCACAGACTTTATGAATATGACCCCAAATGGGATTATATCAAACTAAAAAGCTTCTGCACAGCAAAAGAAACAATTAACAGAGCGAAAAAACAACCAAGAGAGTGGGAGAAACTATTTGCAAAATATACACCTGACAAAAGATTAATATCCAGAATATACAAGGAACTCAAACAACTTCGCAGTAACAAAACAAGCAACTTGCTTAAAAAATGGGCAAAGGAGCTGAATAGGCATTTCTCAAAGGAAGATATAAGAATGGCCAACAGGCACATGAAAAAATGCTCAACACCACTCAGCATACAGGAAACGCAAATCAAAGCCACACTGAGATATCATCTCACTCCAGTCAGACTGGCTATTATCAAAAGGACTGAGAATAACAATCCTGGCAAGGATGCAGAGAAAGGAGAAACCTCCTACACTGTTGGTGGGACTGTAAAATGGAGCAGCCATTATGGAAAATGGTATGGAGGTTCCTCAAACAACAACAGATAGAACTGCCATATGACCCAGCTATCCCACTGCTGGGTATATACCCAAATGAATGGAAGTCATCATGTCAAAAAGAAACCTGCATTCCCATGTTTATCGCAGCTCTATTTACAATAGCAAAGAGTTGGAACCAGCATAAATGCCCATCATCAGACAACTGGATAAGGGAAATGTGGTTCACAATGGAATACTACTCTGCTATAAAAGAATGAAATACTGCCATTCACAGCAACATGGATAAACTTAGAGAAAATTATGTTAAGTGAAATAATCCAGGCACATAAAGAGAAATACTGCACGTTCTCACTTCTATGTGGAAGCTAATAAAAAAATAAATAAATAAAGGAAAAAGAAACTTTTCTTAGCCAATAACATACAAAATAAATAAATAAATGAAGTTTTCTTAAATTCTATCATTAGTTAGATCAACCTTCTTATAAAAGTCTTTGGGATGGCTTAATTTAACACGATTGGGATATGTTATGGACACACACAATACCAATGGGGTATGAAAAGGTTTTTCTGTTCACATAAGAAGGCTTTCTGGGGACAGTAGGGCAGGCCTCCCAAAGTGGTCTGAAAATGGCTTGAGAAAACAGAAGAAAGGAGATTGGACTTGGGTTTTTATGACTGTTAGAGGGTAAAGCTGGGGTGTGTTCCCATACATGGTTTAAACTTTCTGCTGGCACCTAAGGAGAGAGCAACCAGGCTTTCTTATCAGCTTGACCAAATGTGGAGCAGAAGGAGAAAAAGAAAAAGTGAAGTTTACAAAATGTTAGCAGTCACACATCAAAATAAGGAGTCATATTCTTTATTACTCAATAACACCATACAACTAATTTGAAAAGCACAGAATACATGGATATTGAACAATATGTTTATATAATTTCATCAAATTTAAATATCTTCATTTAAGCTATATATAATTAATTGACAAATACTGAATATGAAATATAAAGATTAAATTGGTTTTTGCTGAAGACAGGAAGCAAAATTTTAAATATTCTTCAAAAAGGATTTAAACAAAAAAATATTAACAGGATCACCACTGTACAACAATCCAATTTTCAGAAATTACTCTAGCCCTTCATATTAATTTTTTTCCATTAAAGGTATTAGCATAACTGATAAAATTGGAGTTTTACCAATTGTTGTATTAGAAGAAAATGACATAGACTTTATTTACTATCAATAACATAAATTCTTTGAAATTATTATTAGAGTACCACTCTGTATGCTGCAGCAGTGAAGCCTAACTGAAACCTAGTAATTTTAAAATAATTTTTTAGTAGCTAAAGTATACTTCAGCACTAACTACACAGTTACCACTATAAGGTCTTCTGATGGCCTAAAAGAATTCTTGTTTTTATCAAAGCACCTACAATACTACCAGAATCAAAATTAGGTTTCCAGGAAGAAGTAGGCCTAATATTTACAATAAAGATTAATGGAAAAACATCAAATTCTATTAAGATTAACAAAAGTTCTACCTGCAAAATTAAATCTAAAATAAAATAATGACTTAGTTAATGCCACCAATAAAAAGGAAATATTCAATATTTCAATATTGAAATAAATATAATTGAATAACATAACTATGGTAACCAATTGTTGCTTTAATCAACAAAAGAAAGTAGATAGTCTTCATGTTTTAAGTAATAATGTAAATTTATTCCCTATATAATTACAGAGCAGTAAAATAATTCAAGAAATTAATAACTAGTTCAAAAAAAAGTAAATTGTGTTGTCTTTTGTGAGGAAGATGAAAAACCCTTTAAAGAAGAAGGTATTGAATTTTGATCCTGTTCAAATGAAAATGGAAAACTAAAATCATCTTTTCCAGCTCCAAATGCATGAGTTGAAGCCTCTGATGGAAAAGAAAACGTAAAGGCATCTTCTCCTTCTGGTTTCCCAAATAAGTTTCCTGAGGAAGATAAATATTACAAGATCATGCTATTCATGTTGTATAAAATTTGCATAATTATCAAATTACAATACTGCATACAATAGAGTAACATTGAATCATTTATCTATTTAGTAGATATTTAATTGTGCTCCTCTTATGTGCAAGGCATTGTCCTTAGTACTATGGAAAGTTAAAACACACACAAACTTAAACCCTACTTTCAAATAATTTGAACTCAAGTATATAAAGATCTAATATACAGGGTCAAAAAGTAGGATAAAACACTCAAATTAAGAGAATAGAACTGAGGCACAGACACAGGTATGCATAGGAACTATTAGGGTAACAGAAATGAATTCAGCTTGGCAGGAGCACTGAGAAATAATATGTATTAAATGGGAATTAATGAAGATATGCTTGGAAAGATTGTTGAATGTACCCCCTACAGAATTTAGACTTTATTAAGTAGGTAACAAGAAGCCATTAAAGATTTTCAAGCAGAGATATGACATGATTTGGACCACTTTATAAGGATTACCCAGGAGAGAATATGTGGAAAGGCTGGAACAGGAGAGTAAAGAAGTGAGGATACCAAAAGGAAAAGAAATCTATTGTCCAGCAAAGAGATAACAAAAGCCTTACCTACAATTGTAGTCAAGGGAATGAAGGAAAAAATGCTGGATTTGGAAGATACTGTTTAAGTCAAATTTATTCAACTATTCTCTGTTCATGGCATTGTTCAAGGAAATTGACAGAATACTAAAAGGAGTTCTACAGTTTTAAAATAAATTTTTAAAATCAACTTTACATACAAAATTATTTGGTTGATGACTCCCAGAATTGCCATTAAGGAAAAATACTGCTTTATATTATATTATTTTAAAACTATAATTATAAAAATATATTTTCAACATCTGATCATTTAAAATCAGTTATTATTAAATGATTTAAAATCTACAGTAATCCAAAGACTTCCTTGAAACAAGTCTTTTAAAGCACCTATATTTTTTCCATAGTGAACTAATCATCTAGTACATTAAGCAAAAGAATTTACTTTGTGACACTCTGAAATTTTGTCTTTTTTTTTCTTTGTATACACACACTTCTTAGTAAAAAATTTTCATGTTTTTAAACATGTCAGTTATTTCACTCTGAATAGAGCTGAGCCAGTAGAAAGATGGATGGACGGACAGATGAATGGACAAACATATTACCAGATACTTGTGTTCTTCCTCTTTCTCTTTTTCACTTTATTTTTCCACTGACTTCAGGACACATCCATTAGATATAAACAAAACTTTATAACTGAAATCAGACATCTCACCACTTCTACTGCCACCATCCAGCCATCATCAATTCTCATTTCAATTCTTTTAATAGCCTCCTAACTATCTCCCTTGTTTCCCTACAGCAGCCAGAGTAATTCTTTAAAAACCTGTCAGATCATTTCAGGCTTCAGCTCAAAACCCTCCAATGGCTTCCCATCTCACTCAGAAAAAACCCCAAAGCATTTAAGAGTCTACAGGTTCCACATGATTTGCTCCCCCTCCAATCTCTCTGATTTAATCTCCTACCAGTTACTCTTTTATTCCATTCCATACAATTTGCCTGCTGTTTAAGAACATTAAACAGCAGGTAAATTGTAAAATTTGAGCATTTTCTCACCTCAAGACCTTCTCACCCTTTGCCTGAAACACTTTTCCCAGCAGCTTGTACCTGTACCTTCTTCAGGTCTCTGCTTAAATGGTGCCTTTTAGTGATGCCTTCTCTGACTTTTTTGTAACATGGCAACCACCTTCCCAATCCAAGTATTCCTTATTCCCTTTACTCTGTTTTACTTTTCTTCATGGTATCTATCACCAACAGTTAGTAAATAACTAATCTCAAGCCTGGGCTGATTCAGGCCCACCAGAAGAATGATAGAGTATGACTTTTCACAGCATTGTTTTCTTAGAAAATACAGAATTAAGGCAAATGTAGAATATTGTGTCTGCCTACTCTCCTGTGTGAGATTGTACCTGAATTAAAGAAGCTGTGAATTACCACATAGAGACCTTGGGCCTCATAACTAGAATGCTATAAAGACTGGTGGGAAACTGAGGCCGCAGCTTTTATGTCAAGGTGACCTCCATGCACCATGCCTCTTGTAACAGCAGCATGACATGTTCGTGGGTGAGGAAGCAAAAGAAAGCTTAGTTGCGTAGCTGGTAGGCCTCTCAATGAGACAAAGACACATACCTGCTGTTATCTCCTATCCTGTATCTTTCAATAAAGCAAATGTAATATTAGATATAAAATTGTAACATGTGAGTCTGACTCCCAATTCAAACCCATAACAATTGTTGTTTAGTGCACTATCTGACATATTACACATTGATTTGTCTACTTTCAGTTTCTCCCACTAGAAGGTAAACCCTATGAGAACTTTGCATTCTTGTCCACTGTTTTATCACCAGAGCCAAAAGCAGTTCCTGATATAAAATATAATATATATAATATTTATATGTTGAATGAATTAACCCATCAAGGGACAAAAGAAGAAAGAAGATTGAATAAAAAGTAAGCACCAGAGAGATAGGAGGAAATCCAAAAATTCCAGAAAAAAGATGAGAATACTCAACAATAACAAATGCTGTAAAGAGACTGAATATGATAATAAAAGCAAGATACACATAATGTTTAATAATTGGGAATTCATTAGTAATCTTGGAGAAAGAAGTTTTGGTAGAGTAAGAGTAAGTTTTGGTGAGAAAAGAAACTAAATTGTTAAAAAAAAATAGTGAATGGTGCAGAGGTAACTAATTTTTAAAGAAACTGAGCACAGCCGGCCCGGTGGCGCACTGCGCTAGTGCGCCGCTTGTGAAGCGCGGAAAGAAACTAAATTGTTAAAAAAAAATAGTGAATGGTGCAGAGGTAACTAATTTTTAAAGAAAGTGAGCACAGCCGGCCCGGTGGCGCACTGCGCTAGTGCGCCGCTTGTGAAGCGCGGAGGGGCTCCTGCTGAGGGTTCGGATCCCACATACAGACCGGTTCCCGCTCACTGGCTGAGCGAGGCGCGGGGGCAACACCGAGGGTTGCGATCCCGTTGCCGGTCCCGGTCCGGTACGGGGGCGACACTGAGGGTTGCAATCCGTTGCCGGACACGGAAAAAGACAAAAAAAAGAAAAAAAAAAAGAAACTGAGCACATAAAAAAATCAGAGACAAACTAAAAACTAACAGAAAATTAACATGTTTTTAAATGTAGGAAATTTCAAATCACTTACCAATTTCTTGTTGTGATGAGAGAGGATTTATATTTCCTGCAGAATAACGTTCATTGAACTGAAAAATAATTTCCATTAAATATTAGTTGTGAAATCAGTAAAACAGTAGAGCATTTATGTTTGAATCTAAAGCCTGATTCTTCTAATATACAGAATCAGAGTACACATAAAGAAACTTTCTAATTTGCACACTATTGTATTAAAAGAGATCTAACTTCAAAACCTGTCATTTACTTATATTAAAATAAGGCCTGTTGATTTGATTCTGGCAATAGATAAAATATTAACAGGCATTCATTCTGCTTTGGGTTTGCTTTGTTCTTTTTCTGGCTTCTCAAGGTGGAACCTAAGGTCACTGATTTTAGACCTTTCTTCTTTTCTATTAATTTATTTAACTTATTAATTAAAGTATTTAAAGTTATCATTTTGCTTTGGCTTTGGCAGCATCCCACAATTTTTGATAAGCTGAATTCTCATAGTAATTTGGTGCAAAATATTTTTGGGTTTCTCTCATGATCTATGGCCTACACATATAGGATTTTCTGAGACAGAGTATTGATATTAAGTTCTGATTTAATTCCATTGTGGTCAGAGAACATACTCTGATTTTAATCCTGTTAAATTCATTAAGACTCATTTTATGGGCCAGAATATGGTCTATCTTAGTGAATTTACCATCAGCATTTGAAAAGAATATATATGCTACAGTTGTTGGATTTGGTATTCTATAAAGGTCAATTTGGTGAAGAGGACTGATGGTGCTATTCAGATCTCATAGAAGATCTTTACTGATTCTGTTGTCTAATTCTATCTATTTTTGAGAAAGGGATGTTAAAAACCTCTATGTTTGAGTTTTTATCCATTTTTCCCTTTAATTCGGTCAATTTTTATTTCATGTATTTTGAAACTGTTATTAGGCACGTACACATTTGTGATTGTTATATCTTCCTTATGAATTGACCTTTTTATCTTTTATCTCTAGTAATGTTCTTTATCTTGTAGACTACCAAAAATAATATATATAGCCACTGTGACTGTGATCTTCTTAGCCTTACAGTTTTCATGATATATCATTTTCCATCCATTTACTTTCAACTCATGTTTGTCTTTATATTTAAAGTATGTTTCTTATGGGTCTTGCTTTTTTCATCCATTCTTACAATCTCTGTCTTTTAATGAAGAGTTTAGCCTATTCATATTAATGTAACTATTAAAAAGTTCATATTTTTTAGTCAAACATTTGACTATTGGTTTTATGTTTGTTCCCTTTGTGTTTTGTTCCTGCTCTTTCTTTTCTACCTTCCTTTGTGTTAAATATTTTTTTAGAATTCCATATTAACTTATTACCAATCTTATTTTTAAATATTGTCTTGATTATTCTTGACCCAGAAAACTTACTAATTATTTTGCCAATCTCCTTCCCCAACCCCACCAACACAAAAACAAAACAAATCAAAACAAAAAACTGAAGATAAACAATCTGGTCACGATTCAAATTGGATTACGTTTATAAATCATTTGGGGAAGAAATTTTCCTCCTATACAAGTACTTTATTTATCATGTAGCCAACAATTTTTTTCAATACTTTTGTGGCTTTCTTTATTCAAAATATACAAGTTTTCTGTTTAGGTTATATATCTGATTTTGCATATGTGTTATTATGTAAATGAGGGTTAAGTAATTATAGTCTATTTTTTCATGCCCAGCACACTCCTTCTAGGAATTCTTGTTTTTGAAATAAGCATTTAAATAAAAATTGAGAAAAAGTTGAAGACATGAAATACTATAAAATGGATAGTAGTATATCATCTACCAATAAATTTATAATTGCAACAATTTAATATAATGTGGGAGATACAGAAATAAAATATTCTAATCTACATAAACTTGCCTAAATGTGACTAATTTAAATGAGCAACAATAATATAATACTTCCATTACATTGATATTTACATAGCATTATTAAGTGGTTGGGTTTTCTAAGTGTTTTATGTGTACAAACTTACTCAATACACAAACATTATGGTAATAATAATTATTTTCACTTTACAGAAAGAAAATGGAGAGTTACTTATCCAAAACTGCATACCCAGTACACACCCAAGTACCCTGGCTTCAGATTCTAGGTCTAACCACTACACTATTATCTCTACTTTTCAAATAAAGCATGTTTTAATTTTCAGTTTTAATAGCTAAATACAGAAATAAGCACTTTATCATGGTTTGTATCACTGAACAGTAGAAATCAATATTGGAAGAAAATTTTTTATGTCTTTTAAACTTAACCAGTGATAATGTTGCTATGTACACACATGTAGTTGAAAAGACCAACTTATAACATGGAGCATTTTTCACATTGAGAATATGTAAAATTCATTTAGAAGTAAGACACATTAACTACAAAGCCAACCTCATTTTTAAAATGCTTTTAACTGCAATTTAAATCATCCCTATCCTGAGATTTTTTTTTTTTTTTAAATGAATGGATATTAATTTGGGGCATCTGAAGTTGAAGACAAAAAGATAACAGGAAACTTTGCTATACTATCAATACTCAGAATTTTTTTAAAAATTACCTCTGGACTTCCAATCAAGACGGCAGAATAGACGGTACCCGGTATCACCCTCTCTCACAGTCAACCAATTATAACTCTTAAAAAGCAACCAACTACAGGCTGAGGCTGCCAGAGCTCAGAGGAAGAGGAAGAGAGACCTACTGAGTTCATGAAGCCAGGATAAGTCACAATGAGAGAAAGAAAGGACCACTCCGACCATTTTGGGCTCCAGCCATTTTAAGGCTGGCCCTGGTGAGCACACGGAATGAGAGTTGACAAATGCTGCAGCTGTGTCCTTCGAATGAAGTTGTTTGGAGGTTGCAGGGGAGAAGAGGGCCTTGGTGGCCCTCAGGCCAGCAAGATCACTAACAGGGTTCTCATGGACCTACACAGGAGCGAGGGGCCACAGCAACTGGAAAAACGAGCCACTCAGAGGCTGATGAGTCACTGCAAGTGACCGGCGCATGGCCAGTCCCATGGGAAGTGTTTGGAGTATGGGCGGAAGTAGAAACGGACCCATCAGGGGAACATTGGGGCACAGCATGGACAGCTGATCTGCCCTCCAATCACCACAGGTCCACTCAGTGGAAACTAGTCAGGAATAAAGGACTGCAAAGGGTGCAGTTTGCTAAAAAGACACAGGCCCAGACCAGTGTTTCCATACAACCTAGGTGTACTGGACCTCACAAAACCCAGAAGTGCTTCCAAGGTCAACAATTAAAACCTGAGCTGCACAAAAAGCCTTCCCCAGAGAATCAGCAGAAAAGCAGCACTTTAGCTCGCCCAACTGCTCCGCAACAACATCTTAGAATGTAAATAATAATAATAATAATGATAATAAATTAATTAAATTGATAAATAAATAAAAATTGCCTTTGTTGGTATTCTGCCTCAAGACAATTTAAAAGGATAACAAATTAGTTCCAGTGCAGAGTTTAAGTGGTGGGAATAGTGAATAATCCAACACAGAACTGAAAGAAAAAACAAAAAACCCACAGATCAGAGACAAAGTTCTGATGTTAACCAGTAAAGGTCTAACACCACCAAAGAACATCTGTAAAACCTAGAAGGACCAGAAGGCCCCTAGGCTCCCAAGTCGGGGTAGGGGAGGGCCAAGGGCCTCAGCCACATCCCCCCAACATCTTCATCCAGCCCGGTGATAACCACCAGGCTTCCACTGGAAGCACTCTGGGCTCAAAACTGGGGTGATGAGAAGCCAAAGGCCTCAGCCACGTGCTCCCAACATCCACATCCAGCCCAGCAGCAACTACCAGACCACTGCCAGAAGTGCCCTAGGCTTCTGAGCTAGGGTGGTGGGGGGGTTGAGGTCCTCAGCCATGCCCCCCGCTGACATCCGCATCCAGCCCAGAGACGACCACCAGGCTGCTAGAAATGCTCCAGGTTCCCAAACCAGGGCAGTTAGGGGCCAAGGGCCTTGGCCATGCCCCCCTGACATCTGCATCCAGCCCAGTGACAACCACTGAGTAGCTGCTGGAAGCACCCAGGGCTCCCAGGTTGAGGGGGCCAAGGGCCTCAGCCACAACCCCCAAAGTCTATATCCAGTCAATCCATGACCAAGCTGCCGCCAGAAGCCCCCTGGTTTCCCCACCCAGAATGAGGGGGATGCCATGGGCCTTGACTATACCCCTGCTTCATCTTCCTCCCACCCTATCCCCTTTTCCCTTCCACCTTCGCCTTGGCCCAACTGCTCCGCAACAACATCTTAGAATGTAAATAATAATAATAATAATGATAATAAATTAATTAAATTGATAAATAAATAAAAATTGCCTTTGTTGGTATTCTGCCTCAAGACAATTTAATACTAAAGAACTAAAATTACTCAAAGTTCCAGTGTACAATTTTTAAAAATAAAACCTTAGCTTCTCTTATTACCTGATCTGATGGGACTTCTGAATCAAAAACTGAAGAATCAAATAAATTTAATCCAGGTGACCTAGAAGCATAACTCATAAGAAAAGAAAATCCAGGTGATTCCTTTTGTGTTTGTCCTTCAGGTACTGCATTTTTATTTCTGTTACAGAGAAACAAGAAATCACAAAATGTTAAAAATCTATTATTAAACACTGCAGACTGGTAAGCACCATAAGTAACAATACAAAAGTGAGAACTAACATAGTGGGGAGACGTAGGAAATAGTTACTGAAATAACAAACCTATAAAGAAAGAGGTGCAGAATAACGTTTAATAAAGTAGAATAATTAATTTGGGGATATTAATTATAAATACCTAGTGAGAATATATTGTCAGGCTCTATTCTAGGTACTTCCACAGGCATAACTTACTGATTCCTCACAATAACCATATGAAATAGGTACTATTACTGTCACCTCCATTTTACAGTAGAGGATTTTGCAGCAAAGAAAGGCTAAATTGATTTGCTCAAAAGAATAGTAAATGCCAGAGTTGGGATTTGAATGCAGCAATCCAGATTCAAAGTCCAAGCTTTTAACTCTGACACTATATTTTCTTCAAGATCTTGAAAGTCAGTCAACAAGATTTTTAGTCTTGATGAGAAGCCAGCTACTACAGGATGTAGTACTGCTATAAGGGAGTTAAACTATAAAATGATCTGGGAAAAGTAATTAGCCAAGACAGTGTATTATTCAGTGGTTAAAAGCATGAATTCTAGAGCCAGACTGCCTGGATTTAATTCTCAACTCTAACACTGGTTACTTGTATCACCTGTTATTCTGTTTCTCCATCTATAAAATAATGATAATAATGTACCTACACCTCATAAGGTTGTTGTGAATATTACATGAGCAATATTTATAAAATTCCTAGAACAGTGGCTTGTGCATAGTGCTACATATAGTGTTTGTTAAATATAATAGAAGTCTGACAATACTGCCATGACTATCTCTATGACCATGAATGAGTCACTTAACTTTACAGATCATAATTTTCTTATCCATGGAGAGAGATTTCAGTATATGATCTCACATTCTTTTACAGTTCTCAGATATGATGATGAGTTCCACTTTGAACTTTCTGTGCTTGAGTCAACAGCATGACATGCATATATAAAACTCCTAGCAGCGATTCAAAATACAGAAGTAGAACATAGGTGAGAGACCTCTAATGAAATGAAATCTGACATGTTTTAGAGGCACCTCAGGGTTCAGTGTTAAGGAAGAGACTGAACTAAACAAAAATGTTAAATACAACACTATTTTCTAAGCTGAAAACTACAAATCTGTGCTTTCCAAATTTAAACAATCATGTTAGAAATATTTATGCATATTTTATGACAAGATGGCTGGCTACAGGAGGCCAGCCCTCTCCTCTAATGCAAGAAAGTCCAAAGCAATAAATAGATTGTCACTTGAAGAGTAGAGTGTCTAGGGGAAAACAACAAATCCAGATAAACAGTGAGGAAACCCTCCCAAGACCTGGAATCTCAAGGCAGCAACATATAAGGAAAGGAAAAACTCTTGACCAGGACTGGCCTGGAGACTGAAGAAATCCTGCACTGCCAGGACAAGGTAGGCAGGGAAGGGCTGATGGCTGGGACTCCCACCTTAGATGCCTGTAAACCAAGCTGCAGGATAATCACATGGCCCTTGCAGACAATGAGCCCTGCGTGTGAAACAGCTAAGAGCCCATATGACCCTGTTTTCCCAGAGGGGAACTACATACAGAGTCACCCCTCCACACTAGGTTGTGGGCTGCCACTGGACATTGGTATTTCGGGATTGAAGCTGAGAGAGCTCAGAGTCCTGCTAACCCAGTGGCCCTGCACATCCTGGTAGAGAGCACAGGTAGAGCAGACCAGCTGCCTAGTTACATGCCCTTCTTCTTTCTGGGAATGGGTAACTGCTCTTGCCAGCGGAGAGTGGGGGAAGTGCTCTGGTCATCTGAATCCATGCCCTCCTTCCCCTGTCAGCTCACAGCCACTCAACTCAATGCTCCACACACGCTCCAGTGGATAGCAAGCAGGAGTTGTGCTGGCCCCTTGCAATGGTTGCTGGGATAACACAACCCCCCTCCTCTGGGAGCTCAGAGCTCCTGCCAACTCAATGCCCACCCCAGTTGATAGTGAGCAGGGGCTGTGTCAGCCCATTGCACTAGCTGCCTGAATCCACACCCTCCTACCCCCAGAGACCAGAGGTCTTCCTGATACATGAGCCTGCCAGCACCAGTAGAGAGTGAGCTGGGGGTGTACAAGCCACTAGGATCCACGCCACGTCCCCCAGGAGCCCAGTGTCCCATCTGACACAGCGGTCCACCCACACCAGCTGAGAAGATGCAGGGAGCAAGCTGGCACTTACTACCATACCGACCCAGAAACAAAGGTACATAGCCCAACCCAACTATCAATATACAACACTTCTATAGGTATGAGTCTCTCCACTGAAAAACCACTCCCAGAATTTAAAAAAGCGACTACACTACCAGATACCCAGATATCAACAGAGATACAAGAAGCATAAAAAAATCAGGCAAACAAAACACCCCCAAAAGACTACAATTCTCCAGTATGAGACCCCAAACAGGAAACTGGTGAATCACCTGAAGAGAAATCCCAAATATCAATACTAAGGAAATGCAACATGATGGATGAAAAAGTAGATAGAAATCACAGTGAAGTAAAGAAAAAAAAAAAAAAAAAGATTCAGGACATGTACCAGAAATTCAACAAAGAGATACAAAAAAATAAAAATGAATCAAGCAGAAATCCTGGAACTGAAAAATTCATTCAATTAAATAAAAAATATAAACAAAAGCATAAGCAGCAGGATAAAACAAGCAAGAGAAAGAATTGCTGAACTAGAAGACAGGATTTATGAATTAATGCAGTTTGACCAAGAAATAAAGAAAAAGAATTGTAAAAAATGAACATAACAATGACATCTTTCTAATAACCTTATCATATAAACATCTGTATTATGGCTTTATCAGAAGAGGAAGAGAAAGGGAAAGGCAACAAAAGCCTATTTAATGAAGTAATAGCTGAAAACTTCCCAAATATTGGAAGAGATACAGTCTCCCAGATTCAAGAAGCTCAAAGATCCCCAAACATTCAATCCAAAAAAAGACCTCCCCAAGACACATTACAAATTGTCAAAAGTCAAAGACAAAGAAAGAATTGTAAAAATGGCAAGACAAAAGTGTCAAATCACTACCAGGCTAACAGCAAACTTCTCAACATAATCTCTAGTCAGGAGACAGTGTGATGACATATTCAAAGTCCTAAAAGAAAATAACTGCCAACCAAGAATACTATATCGAGCAAAGCTTTCCTTCAGAAATGAAGGAGAAATAGAATCCTTCCCAGACAAGCAAAAACAGTGGTAATTCATCACCACAAGATCAGCACTACAAGAATTCCTCAAGGAAGTCCTGTATCTGGAGTCAAAAAAGGAACATATATCACCATAAATACACAAGGAATAAAAACCCTAGTAGATCAGATATGCAAAAGAGAAAGGGAAAGAAAATGTATCTTATTACTACAAGAAAACACCAAACAGCAAAAACAAACCATAAAAGGGACAGAAAAGAACAAAAGAAATATAAAACAACCATAAACTATTTATAAAAATGGCAGGAACAAGGAAAGCAACACTTTTCACAAACAACTCTGAATGTAAAAGGATAAAATTCCCCACTTCGAAGATACAAACTGGTTAAATGGATTAAAAAACTACACCCAACTATATGCTGCCTGCAAGTAACTCACTTCACCTATAAAGACACACATAGACTAATAGTGAAAGGCTGGAAAAAGATATTCCAGGCAAATGGAAACCAAAAACAAGCAGGAGTCTCCTTACTTATATCAGATAAAATAGACTTCAAACCAAGAATATAAAAAGAGACAAAGAAGGACATTACATAGTAATAAAAGGATCAATGCACCCAATAATAATCTTAAATATGTATGCACCCAAAATCAGAGCACCTAGATATATAAAGCAACTGTTACTGAATCTAAAGGAAGAGATAGGCCAAAACACAATATTAGCTGGAGACTTTAACATGCCACTCTCAGCAATGGACACGTCATCTAGACAAAACATTAGCAGAGAAATATTGGATTTAAACAGCACTTTAGATGAAATGGACTTGGCAGACATTTACAGAGCATTTCATCCAACTATGGCAGAATATACATTCTTCTCTCAGCACACAGATCATTCTCCAACACAGACCTCATACTAGGCCACAAATCAAGTCTCAACAAATTTAAAAAGATTTAAATTATATCAACTATATTTTCAGACCACAATGGAATAATGTCAGAAATTAACAACAAACAAAATGTTGGAAACTATACCAAATACATGGCACTTAGACAACATGCTCCTGAATGCCCAATGTTCAAAAAAGAAATAAAGGAGGAAATCAAAAAATTCCTTGAAGCAAATGAAAATACAAGTGTAACCTACCAAAACCTATTGGATACTGTAAAAGCAGTAGTGAGAGGGAAGTTTATTGAAATAAATGCTTACACCAAAAGAACAGAAAGACTTCAAATAAACAACCTAATGTTGTACCTCAAAGAACCAGAAAAACAAGAACAATCCAATCCCAAAATTAGTAGAAGAAAAGAAATGATCAAGATCAGAGCAGAACTAAATGAAATAGAGACCAAAAAAAAAAAAAAAAAAAAAAAAAATCCAAAAGTTCAACTAAAATTGGTGTTTTGAGAAGAAAAACAGACAAACCATTAGCCAACAACTTTGAAAACCTGAGGGAAACAGATAGATTTCTGGACACATACAAACTACCAAGACTGAATTAAGAAGAAATAGAAAATCTGAACAGACCAGTAATAAGCAATGAGATTGAAACAGTAATCAGCAGTCTCCCAACAAAGAAAAGCCCAGAACTGAATGGCTTTACTACTGAATTCTACCAAACCTTTAAAGAGGAATTAATAGAAATTCTCCTGAAACTATTCCAAAAAAATTGACAGAGGCCATTCTCCCAAACTCATTCTCTGAGACCAGCATCACCCTGATACCAAAATCGGACAAAGACACATCAAAAAGAGAAAACTACAGCCAATATCCTTGATGAACACAGATGCAAAAATCCTCAACAAAATATTAGCAAACAGAATACAACAGCATATCAAAAAGATTATATACCATTATTAATTGGGATTCATCCCAGGGATGCAAAAATGGTCCAACATAATGCAAATCAGTAAATGTGATACACCAAATCAACAAAATCAAGGTCAAAAATCATTTGATTATCTCAATAGACAGAGAAAAACCATTTAACAAAATTCAACATCCCGTCATGATAAAGACTCTCAATAAATTAGGTATACAAGGAAAGTATCTCAACACAATAAAAGGTTTATGTCACAATCCTACTGCCAACATCATCCTGAATGGGGAAAAGCTGAATGTTTTTCCTCTAAGAACAGGAACAAGACAAGGATGCCCACTCTCACCACTCTTATTCAGCATAGTATGGGAAGTACTAGCCAGAGCAATCAGGTAAGAGAAAGAAATAAAGGACATCCAAATTGGAAAAAACAAAGTCAAATTGTCTCCGTTCACAGATGACATGATCCTTTGTATAAAAAAATCTAAAAGCTCTACCAAAAAACTCCTAGAGCTTATAAACAAATTCAGCAAAGCTGGAGGATACAAAATCAATTCACAAAAAGCAGTAGTATTTTTACACACCAACAACAAACTAGCAGAAAAAGAAATCAAGAAAGCAAGCCCATTTTCAGTAGCTACCAAAAGGATAAAATACCTAGGAATAAATTTAACCCAGGAGGTGAAAGATCTCTACAATGAGAACTACAAAACACTGAGGAAAGAAATTAAAGAAGACACAAAAAGATGGGAAGACACTCCATGTTCATGGACTGGAAGAATTAATGCTGTGAAAATGTCCATACTACCCAAAGCAATCTAGAGATTCCATGCAATCTTCATCAAAATACCAATGACATTCTTCAGAGAGAGAGAAAAAAAAATCCTAACATTCATGTGGAACAACAAAAGATTCAGAACAGCCAAAAGCAATCCTGAGCAAAAAAGTAACCCTGGAGTCATCATATTACCTGACTTCAAATTATACTAAAAAGCTATGGTAACGGGCCGGCCCGGTGGTGCACTGCTGTAGTGTGCCGCTTGGGAGCGTGGTGGCGCTCCCACCGAGGGTTCGGATCCCACATACAGACCGGTTCCCGCTCACTGGCTGAGCGAGGCGCGGG